TCACTTGACAAATTAAACAATTTTCACAGCATCTAAACGTTTATTAACCTCCATAAACAAAAATCCATCATTTAAAAAAGAACACTACCAAAATTTTGAATCTCCTTCTCCTTATATCTAAAACCTACTTATTAAATTTTTTAAAATATAAACCAAGAAATGCATTTATTACACTTTAAATAATCTTCACTAACACAAACTCTACCAAAGTGGGAGATACCTAATACCTTCCTTTATCATTCAGAAAAACTGTTTTCTTTTAATTGATCCTATCATATGGATTATGAAATTTTTTGTCCAATAAGCTATTATTAGATTCGGATATTAAGAATCTTACCTTGAGTTCTCTAATATATGTTCACCATGGTTTAACACCAATGAACTCCAAATCAATCTTATATTATAGAGTACACTTGCAAATTAGTAGAGTTCTTATATTGCCTTATCCTTTTCCAATCCACAAGGAAGGATTCCACCTTCTAATCCTTTATTTGAGGAAGTTTTATAATGTTTTCTTTAAATCATGTAAAAATTTATTTTTAGCCTCGGTAAATGATACTATTCTTTTTTTTAAGTTTCTGTTTCCCATCCTATTATGATATCGATACCCTAAGGTCTTATGTTTCAAAAGGTTAAACTTAATAGTATTATTCATCATATATATTCTATTAATATAAAAAATATCTTGTTGCAATAATAGGATCATTCAGTTATTTGATCTCCATCTAGATCTTCTTTGAATTTTATTCAACAATAACTTATCTTTATTACTTTAATTTTTCCTTTTCTAAAAAGTAGTCTATCACTGATTTTCTTTTCTAAGTTTTTCCATTATCAATTGTTAATCTTTAGCAAATTGTCTCCTTGGATTATTAAATTACTGTTAATTACCGCGTTGGTCTTCATTTATTATCTTCATAATCCAGGAGAAAAAATAAATAGCATCACTTTTCTCTATCACTAAGCTTGGTTACCATATAGGTAACTCACCTTAATCTACTTATTCGATTGGTGTTTAATCGAATGCTATCTTTTTTTCTTCTTTAATCACTTTAATAGAGAAATCTGCTTCCATCTCTTCCAAGATCTCATCCTCCAGGACTTTTTTATTTTATTTTAAAACCTAACATTATTACCGAACTATTTTATGAACTAGTATCTCCAATTTACCTAACTGATGAGGCTAACCTTTAAGCCAATCTTATAGATCTCACCAATTTAGTCCATTTATACTCTCTGCACTTTTACTAAAATAAGACTCTCACTTCATCTCATTTAATGGATACTTCTTTTAGAAGCAAAGTATGAGCTTGGTACAAATAAAATTGTATTTTCAGAATGAAAACCTTTGTAATCTGTTCTTCTTATATCAATTCATCTATCACCTGTGGTATACTATAGTTCATTTATTCTTTATTTTTATTACCTCTAAAGCTTCAATTTACTAGGTTATAATCCTTATTTGACTAAATAGAATTTTTTGTTTCTTAAGATTAACCATATGATATATATAAATAAGAGAGCCTTTTAATTTTTTAAACTTAATTCTAATAAGTTTATTTCTATTCCTTTTTGAGATAATAGGGTCTAGATTATCTCAAGTCTGTGGTCTCTAGGGTCCATCTTTACTTAGCAGAGACAACAAAATCTGGCCAATTATTCTGTTCCATATAATCGATCCAAATTTTTTCTAGAACATATTGTTTTAAAACAGGTTACAATCCTTAATGTAAATCATTAAGGTAGACAAGCCAAGTGCTCTTCCCCTCGCAAGAGCTTTATTTTAAATCGCTGAACCAAACCTGTTTGAGTTAAAGCTTGAGGTTACACATTTTCTCTTAAAATATTTCTTTTAAAAAAAAATTAAAATTAAATAATTATTATTATCTATTTTTCTTACTCATATATATTCAAACTTTTTAAAATATTTTTCATTGGGAGTACTTTTCTTGTCAATCCATCGCTATATTGCTGATAATGATAGTAAAAAAATACAAAAAAATCGCATAATTTAAGTAATATTATTGTCAAATGAAGATTGTTGCAATCACTTAGGTATAGAAATCATAAACGTTTTTCTGCAAGGTAGTTTAGGTGATTTTTTTTTATTTTATAAAATTTAAGGATTATTTTTTAGAAATTCTAATTTACACTCTTGTAAGAAAAAAAAAAACAAAATAATCCAAAACATTTTCACCTTTAAATCTTACTTTTAAATCTTACTTTGTCATAGATTTACACTTTATTGATTTTTTAGAGATTATATGATTTTTCTTATTTTTTCTAAATTTCTTATTATTTATTTTTTGGCCATATTATCATTTTTGCAATACTGAATGTTTTGATAAATTCATCCATCATCTTCTGAATCCTTTTCGATAGCCAACGGCTGTTTCCCAAAATCAGTGTTATATAATTGCCCCAACCATACTACTATAACACTATAACGAATTATGTAATAGATCTATATAGCCNATAGATCTCACCAATTTAGTCCATTTATACTCTCTGCACTTTTACTAAAATAAGACTCTCACTTCATCTCATTTAATGGATACTTCTTTTAGAAGCAAAGTATGAGCTTGGTACAAATAAAATTGTATTTTCAGAATGAAAACCTTTGTAATCTGTTCTTCTTATATCAATTCATCTATCACCTGTGGTATACTATAGTTCATTTATTCTTTATTTTTATTACCTCTAAAGCTTCAATTTACTAGGTTATAATCCTTATTTGACTAAATAGAATTTTTTGTTTCTTAAGATTAACCATATGATATATATAAATAAGAGAGCCTTTTAATTTTTTAAACTTAATTCTAATAAGTTTATTTCTATTCCTTTTTGAGATAATAGGGTCTAGATTATCTCAAGTCTGTGGTCTCTAGGGTCCATCTTTACTTAGCAGAGACAACAAAATCTGGCCAATTATTCTGTTCCATATAATCGATCCAAATTTTTTCTAGAACATATTGTTTTAAAACAGGTTACAATCCTTAATGTAAATCATTAAGGTAGACAAGCCAAGTGCTCTTCCCCTCGCAAGAGCTTTATTTTAAATCGCTGAACCAAACCTGTTTGAGTTAAAGCTTGAGGTTACACATTTTCTCTTAAAATATTTCTTTTAAAAAAAAATTAAAATTAAATAATTATTATTATCTATTTTTCTTACTCATATATATTCAAACTTTTTAAAATATTTTTCATTGGGAGTACTTTTCTTGTCAATCCATCGCTATATTGCTGATAATGATAGTAAAAAAATACAAAAAAATCGCATAATTTAAGTAATATTATTGTCAAATGAAGATTGTTGCAATCACTTAGGTATAGAAATCATAAACGTTTTTCTGCAAGGTAGTTTAGGTGATTTTTTTTTATTTTATAAAATTTAAGGATTATTTTTTAGAAATTCTAATTTACACTCTTGTAAGAAAAAAAAAAACAAAATAATCCAAAACATTTTCACCTTTAAATCTTACTTTTAAATCTTACTTTGTCATAGATTTACACTTTATTGATTTTTTAGAGATTATATGATTTTTCTTATTTTTTCTAAATTTCTTATTATTTATTTTTTGGCCATATTATCATTTTTGCAATACTGAATGTTTTGATAAATTCATCCATCATCTTCTGAATCCTTTTCGATAGCCAACGGCTGTTTCCCAAAATCAGTGTTATATAATTGCCCCAACCATACTACTATAACACTATAACGAATTATGTAATAGATCTATATAGCCTATTTCAATTTTTCAAATACTAAAAAAAATAAAGTAATTGGTTTTTGGATGTATTACTACCTCTATTAAAAGGAACAATGTGAATTCTAGAAATATTGATAAAAATGTCAAGTTGGTTTTTTGTTACAAAAAAACTGAAATCTTCTTATTTCCTTTTGAAATTACCTGTAAACGTCTTAAGGAAATAATGTAATTGGATAAGAGTGAAATAAAATTAATGTTTTTAAGGTCATCCCCTTAAAATATAACAAAATTATTCTTATAGATGGCACCACATTTCCTTACCTCACTTATGAAACTAGTAAAATTTATGTTCGATTCCAATTTTTCAGAAAGTACAGATTTCTATTTTCCTCATTTGATTATCGAACCTCTGAGATTTTTTATACTGTACTGTTCAAATGCAGACCTAGTAGGTACCATACCAAGAGTTTAAATGTTAATTTCAATTTTCCTCCCTAGGCATGTAGTGCCATCCATATACTCTATTTATATAATAGCAAAGGTTCCATCTATCCCTCCAGAGATAAGCAAGAGGAAAAATTATTAAGAGAAATGATAGAAGAATCCTAAAGTAAACCTTGAACTAAATAAACTCATTTGAATAATATCTATTGTTATGAAATTCAAGATCTTTTAGTGAATAGAAGTAAATTAAGGATGATATTATTAAAGAGGGTAATAGAATCATATACTCTAAATTGAAACTACATTCCTATCAAAAGCAAAATTTTGATTCGAATTATTGTAACAGGCTTCTTTAAAAGTTGCCTAAAACATTTCAACACTAAAACTCTTATATCTTTATTCATCTAGTAAAGGACTCATTTAAAGAAAAAGTTATAATTATTTGTTTATATCTATGTTAATAAGAGTCTATTAAGTAGTTTTTCTGACATTATCAGTCGAAACCTAAAAGAAAAATTATCACTATAGTTAAATAGAAGTTGGGATTTAAATAAAAATACAATTAAATTCCTTCCTTTTACTGAACTTAACTAGAAAAATAAATGGATATTATAGGTTAAAAGTTAAGAAGGTTTGAATATTGATAACTTAAATTTTTTAAAGTAAATTTATTTCTATATTATGAAAGCATTAAGTAATTCAAATATAAATTCATTTCTGAATATTTTACCCCAAATACAATCATCTCCAAATTAAATCTTATCTTTTACTCGACAAAAATACATTTTGACTTTTAGAATAAAACTTAAAATAAAGTAATAGAAATTCAATATTTAAAAAAAGAAAATGTATTGCTATTTTGCATAGAAGAAAGATCTGTATGAAATATTTGCTTATGCCAAAGATGTAGATGAAGAAATTTTTAGTATTATACTTTAAAAGTTTCGAAAGGAGAAAATGTAAGATATTTTAGGATATCTTTCAAATGATGGAAATCAAAGACTTTTAGAATAATATATTTTACAAGGATAAAATTTAACTTAAGTTGATAAGGAATAGAAATTGTATTTTGTAAGAAATAATATTGAACAACTTATTAATGCCTTAAAAAAAATAAAAGATCATGATTTTAATAAAATAGACTATTCGACTGAAGAAAATTAAGAATATCGACAAGATCTAGTTAAAAGAATAAAAGATGATATGCAGATCATAGAATTTTTGAAATATTTGGTTCACCTCATATCTATAGAAAATAATTTAATTGAGTGTGAATCTAATTCATTTAATTTATTAGTTGAAATGAAGGTTGACATGAAAAACAAAAATTTTGAAAATATTAAAATTTAGAATGCCTCGTTGGTCGGAGATAATTTTTGTGGATGTAATTTAAGTAAATCATAACTTTTTAAGTTGGATATAAGTGGAATAAATTTAAATGGAGCTTTATTAATTAATTGTAAATGGAATAACTTAAGAATTCTTGAATTGAATAAATTAGATGGTCATAAAAGTCCTATTGCTTCTTTGTGTTTCTCTCCTGATTGTAAGACATTGGCATCTGGTAGTTATGATGGGTTAATCAGTTTATGGGATGTTAAAACAGGATAATATATAGCCAAATTGAATGGTCATAGTAATACAGCCTATGCAGTTTCCTTCTCTCCTGATGGCACTACATTTGCTGGTAGCCAGAATAATGTTATATGTTTATGGGATATTAAATCAAGAAAAATAAAATCTAAATTCGAAGGACATAGTGGGAATGTTAGTTCAATATGCTTCTCTCCTGATTGTAGGACATTAGCATCTTGTAGTTGGGATTCGTCTATCCGTTTATGGGATGTTTAAACAGGATAGTTAAAAGCATATTTAAATGATCATTATGATCTAGTTTTCTCAATATCCATTTCTCCTGATGGTACTACATTAGCATCTGGTGGTGGTGGTCTTGTTGGGGGTGGAGATTTTTCTATTAGATTATGGGATGTTAAGACAGGATAATAAAAAGCCAAATTGAATGGTCATAGTAATACAGTCTATGCAGTTTCCTTCTCTCCTGATGGCACTACTTTAGCATCAGGTAGTAGAGATAATTCTATCTGTGTATGGGATGTTTAGACAGGATAATAAAAAGCTAAATTAAATGGTCATACCCATTATGTTTAATCAGTATGCTTCTCTTCTGATGGAATATTAGCATCTGGTAGTTGGGATTTATCTATTCGTCTATGGGATGTTAAGACAGGATAATAAAAAGCTAAATTAGATGTTCATACCCATTGTGTTTAATCAGTATGCTTCTCTTCTGATGGTACATTAGCTTCTGGTAGTTGGGATAAGTCTATACGTTTATGGAATGTAAAACTAGGAGAAGAAATAAAACCTCCTTGTAAAAACTATTTAGATATTTCGCTTTAAAAGAATCTTTAATCAGATGGTTGTATTTATTTTGTTATACTTAAGTTATCTACAATATTACTATTCCCCTTATATCAGAGTCACTACTACTTTAAGCAAAAGGAGCTCTAATAAAAGGAATATATATAAATCATTAAGAAATAAATTTATTAGAACTATTTAATAAAAAGGGAAGTTTAATTTTGGAAGACAGTCTTAATATTACATAAAATGCGATTCAAAAGTGAAAATTCTTAAGAATAGATTTAAAAATAACAACAAATAAATTTAAATATCTTTTCAAAAAATTGTTAAGATTCCCCTATCAATAATATTTTATTTAAATTAGAAAAATTTTAATAAAAGGATATTCATAATTAATTTAATTTTTTTTCACAATTCCTTCTTTTTTCATTACCGCTTCTGTCAAAGTGGATTAAACAATTAGAAACTAAATATGAACAAATGATAGGTCTTTTTGAATTAAGTTTTTTTTCTTTAGAAAATAAGTAATTTCAGAAAGCAAACGTTGATCCTTAAGAAATATATCTTTACATTATTAATTCTATTCAATAATTTATCTTATTAAATTTTCATAATTTATTATTTAAAATCTTTTAAATAAATACACTTTAATCAATATTTTAAAAGTAGCTATGAAGCATAGTCTTGACTCATCTATACTTAAAAATTTTTGATTATCTATTTACTGCTCTATGAAAATAATATATAAATTAATAAAGATGCATAACCGTATATTTTGCTTCGTATTTTTTAAGTTTTTGGGAAGGTATATGAATACAAGAGTAAAAAATATTAATATCATCATATCATAGGAACAATTTTTTTTATTTATTATTAATGACATGTAGGTCTTAACATATCATTTTAATATTATCAGATAATTGCGCCAAGGAGAAAAAATATCTAAATTTTTCTCTAATTGTTAATAATTCAAAAGTTTGATTAAATTTTGAAAAAAAGGATGTATGGATATTTTTTAAAAGGAGGAAGTAATAAATTCAGAATTTCAGAAATATAATAAAACTCACAATTTTATTGATTCGAAATTATTATACCTTATGAAGGGAATGTACACATATAATAGTAAATTTGTTTAATAAAAAAAAAGATGGTTACGAGCTTCTATAATAAAGACAGTTTTAAAGAAAAGGTCCCAGATAATCTGAATTGATACCATTCCATTGCCAGAGTTAAATTAAAGCTGAGCCCAAATGTGAATTAGATATTTAACTGGAAAAACTTATATAAATTTTTAGTAACCTCATTTTAATGAATAAATTAAAAATAAAAGAACTGCTTTCATTTTATTCAAATTTTGATTGTCAGATTAAAATCTAAATTGGTCCATAACAAATATTATCCATTATAAATTTTATGTGTTTATATTTAAAATATTGAATGTTAAATAAGTAAAGCAATAATTTAGATCAATAAATAATAATTTTACATTTCTTTGTTATTCAACTTAAATAGATAGAAGGAAAGAATATATATATTCATAAATAGTATTTAATTTTTACCAAAAGCAATCGCTTATATCGTTTAGATTATTTTCTTTGATGCTGAATTATTTCAACTATCTAACCAATTTTTAGTTAGGCTGAATTACTCACTATCTTAATAAGGATATAATTTTATCTGGTCTTAATAAAAAAAATTTTTTTGATGAAATAATCTAATCAAGCCCAATCTCCTAAAAGAAGTTAACATCATAGCCAAATATCTAGCAGTTCAAAAGGATATAAACCTGACCAAGATGGCTAACAGATCGGCTAATTGGCTGATTTCTCCCCCCTGTTAATTTTATAAGGGATCATGAATTGCTAAACATTGAAATCTTCAGACATGCCTTTGAACTTTAAGATTTGAACCAAGACTCTTGGTATGAATCTATATCTAGCTAATTAACTAATTTTAGACCTAAGGATCCAAGATTAATAATCATTTAATCTTTGCTTGTTAAAGGAGTGGAAGATAACTCGTCTCATAAGGAGATAAGAGTTTTAGAGGGAAAACGCTTATCCTGAAACATGATATCAACTTTAAGGAATAGAAAAATCTTTTAGAATATATCAAATACTTCAAAAAAGTGCTGGGGATCTTCGAAAGGGAAAATGTGGGATTTAAAAATAAGTTAACTGGAGAAATATATTGAAGATGTAGTTTCAAGAAGATGAAAATCAAAGCTATAAAGTTTAAACATTGAGTTGGGAGGAATTTGAGGTTGGTGCACAGATTTTAAGAAACTATAAAAAAAGCTATTCTAAGAAAATTTACTAAATGATGAAAAATGATCTTTAAATTTAATAATACCTTCTTTAATCTTAAAGCTAAGCAATTCAAGAAGAGCAAATTCAAATAATTGAGATAGCTATAGTAATAAAAAATGATAGATTAGGAAAACCTTAGAATGGTATTGTAAGAAGCATAATATGAATTGAATTAAGAAAAGAAAAGTCAGATAGAAGAAAGGTTAAGAGATACTTAGTTGGAATAGTAGTATTACTTAAACATATACTTCAACTATGATTATAATTACATACACCTTTCTTGTTAGACTTAAATAATTATGTAAGACCATGATAAATTAACATGGAAAGAGTAAATATGGGATTAATTAAAATTTTAAGGTTAGATCTATGGCGAATCTAATCAATTAAATAGTTTAATATTGGAAGAATAAGGATAGGGAAAGAATGAAGTTCGAAACCTTAAATTCTCTTTAAAAAAAAATTTAGGAACTTGATGAACATAAAAGAACATATTTGCTAGGCTTTATTAAGGAATGGTGCTTGAGAGATAAATAATGAAATTCCATACAAATCTAATTTCTGTTAGACTCTATTTATAGAGTGATTCTAGTAGTAAATAACTTCCCAATGGCTTATTTTTTTAATATTTCATTAACCTAAAATGTTAATATGAAATTAAGCCTTTTAGTGAGAACTCCATAGTCAAACCTCTTAAAGTTTATTATGAAGAATAACCATTACTAGGTATTGTGGATTTTGTGGTTTTATAACTAATTAGCCTTCTTTTGAGCTAGACTTTGATGTGAAACATCTTTAGCAAACAATAAAATGTTTGCCTCATACCTAGGCAGAGAATATAATAAAGTCATCAATCGATTCTAATGAAATAATTGTTCACAATTTTCAATATTATTAATATTATATAATTTAACTGGTCAAATAAAAAATGACTTTTTAGAATTTTCAGATCTTACAATATTTCTTTATTTGAAAAGCTTTTGCAAATCAATATTTAATCATCAATAGAAATATAATCCATTTCGAAATTGTAGCTCCTTTATTTAAAGAACTTTTTCAAATTAATGTAACAATTAAAATTTGCATTTACAATAATCTTTTAATTAAGAAATCTTTTAGGGGCTTATGTTACTAGTAAGACTTCTCCTAAGCATAATATCCGATCTGTTTTAAATTTTCAAATTACACATAAGTATATAATTGATCCTTACCTTTTATCTAAGAAAATGATTGATTAATGTCAATTCTATTTTGATGTTTTAATTTTCATTAAATTAATTTATAAAGATATTTTTTCTAACTAATCTCTGTATTTCTTCTGACAATTTTTTTCTGTACAAATAAGTATAAAACCAATAAACTTATAAGAGTTTAATAAGAAAAAATTCTTAAATTTTTAAGTTTTAAATTTAAACAATATTTATTTTTCAAATGATAAAATTTGTATAGGTTTGAAATTAAATTTTCTAATAACAATAAATAAGAATTAACAATCTTTTTACAATTTTTATCAGTGTTGCTAATCAATATTTTTATTCTTAGTCAGGATTATTAAAATTTAGATAATTTCCAGTTTGTTTATATCTTTTACATTCGGAGATAAAACTTCTAAATTCTTCTTAAATGATATTAATTAATTCAAAAAGCAAAGAAAAAATGATTGATTGAAGCCAACCTAATAAAATCTTACGCTATTCATTAAAGAAATGTCAATTTTGTGAAAGAATTAAAATAAATTAAAAGATTTATGCCTATTATTTAATTTTTTTTAAATAGCTAGATGATATTAAATCTTTAAATTTATGCAAATGTTATGAAATGATTTATTAATTAACAACTTTCGTAGGAGTTATCAATAATTATAATGAAGACATTTCTGAAAAGTAAATGGAGGCAAATACCTAATTTAATAAAACTTAGCGATCTATGCAAATATTACCTAAGAAGTATCATAATCAAATTATTATTTTATTAATAAAAGCACTAAGTATTACATTTTTGAAGGTTAAATTTAAAAAATCAAATTTGTAATGAATTTTATGTAATGTTGGACTTAAAATTAATTGTAATTTCTCAATAATTTGAAATTATTTAATTTTAATTTACCCACACCAATTTTACAGTAATCAAAAATATTTTAAGTATAGATGAAATTTTAGGACATATATATCTTCAATTTCATTTTATAAACTTAGTTCAGTTGTGATAACCAATAAATCTTATATATTTCAAAATTTTAAGAGGTATATGACTGCTTCTTCTGCTACTCATCTTGATATTTAGAATTTAGTAGTGTAATTGATTTTGCATATTAAGACAAGGAGAAATTATTTTAATTAATTTTTAATCACTCTAGATTTTTGTTTCAAATAGAAATAATAAGAATAATTTAGAATGTCGATTAAACTTGGTTAATTGATAATTAGAGCACTTCTATTTCTAAAATCTACTTTCAAAATTACTGTATAAGTTGAGGTTTAAGATTTGGTATTCAAGAAATATGAATATTTTCTGTAATGTATATATATATTTATTATCCTTTTTTAAAAAATTATTTATATATTGCTAGATTACGCTAATTTGCATTAAATAGGGGAATCCTTTGTTATTACAATGTAAATAAAAATTTATTAAGAAAAGAAAGCCTAACATTCTTGAGACAATAAAAAAATTAACGTCATTTACTATTAAGGATCTTATAGAGACTTTTTAGTCTTAAAATAGATATAAAATAATCTCATCAGAATGCTGAATTTAAGGAATTTTCCTTATTTAATTTTTTAGAGTAAGCAACCTATATCATTGCTTGCAAAATTAAAATTTATTAAAATAATATGAAAATTATTGATTAAATTGCATATATTGGAGACTATTTCTTTATTTTCTAAACTTATAAATGAAGTATTAATAAAACAATTTATATTAAAGCTTTTGATAATATTCAATTTTTAATTTTATTTTTTTGTTATTCTAGGTATGTTTCTAAAATAAAACTTCCTCTTTATTCAAATAGTTTTCGTAAATCCATGCCTAAATGATTTGTAAATTCTCCATTCAAGATTAAAGCTCCTTTTGCTTAAAAAATTGGTTATTGAGATATATGTTGAATAGTTATATTATTGTTTACTAAATAAAAAAAATAATTTATACCGTCTTCGGAAAATGAAATATGTTAAAGTGGTTTTAACAAATTTGCAAGATTATCTTTATAATTTTCCTCCAAGGGGTTAATTATTTATCCTTTCTTAACTTCCCATAAACGGATAGATTAATCACAACTTCCAGACGCTAACAAAGTACCATCAGGAGAGAAACAAACTGATTGAACGTAATGAGTATGGCCATCTAATTTTGACTTTTACTATCCTGTTTCAACATCCCATAAAAGAATAGAGCAATCATTACTACCAGATGCTAATGTAGTGCCATCAGGAGAGAAACATATTGATTAAACATGATGAGTATGACCATTTAATAAAGATTTTTATTTTCCTGTCTTAACATCCCATAAACGGATAGACTTATCCCCGCTACAAGATCCTAATATCCTACCATCAGGAGAGAAGCATACAGATTAAACCCAACCATTATGACCTTCTAATTTAAGTTGTAATTATTCAGTCTTAACATCCCATAAACTAATAGAATTATCATCGCTACCAAATGCTAAAATAGTACCATCAGGAGAAAAGCAAACTGATAGAACTGCATTACTATGTCCATCTAATTTTAATATTTGTAATCCTGTCTTTACATCCCATAAGCGGATAGAGCTATCATCACTCCCAGATGATAACATAGTGCAATCAGGAGAGAAGCATATTGAATAAACTGCAAAATTATGGCCATCTAATTTAAACATTTATTATCCTGTCTTAATATCCCATAAACGAATTGATTTATCATTACTACCAGATGCTAATGTAGTACCATCAGGAGAGAAACAGACTGATAGAACTGCATTACTATGTCCCTCCAATTTAGATTTTTGTTATCCTGTTTTTACATCCCATAAGCGGATAGAGCTATCATTGCTGCCAGATGCCAACGTAGTACCATCAGGAGAAAAACATACTGATGATACAAAACTACTATGTCCTTCTAATTAGGTTTTTTATTGTTCTGTCTTAACATCCCACAAACGGATAGAATTATCCCAACAAGCAGATGCTAATTTTATTCCATCAGGAGAGAAGCTGACTGATAGAATTGCATTACTATGTCCATCCAATTTAGATTTTTGTTATCCTGTTTTTACATCCCATAAACGGATAGAATTATCATCGCTACCGGATGCCAATGTATTACCGTCAAGGGAGAAACATATTGAATAGACCCCATAACTATGCCCTTGTAATTTAGATTTTTATTGTCCTGTTTTAACATCCCATAAACGGATTGATTTATCATTACTACCAGATGCTAATGTAGTACCATCAGGGGAGAAGCAAATTGATGAGATGTAACTAATATGTCCATCAAATTTTGACATTTGTTGTCCAGACTTAACATCCCACAAACGGATAGTATTATCCCAACTAGCAGATGCTAAGTTAGTACCATCTGGAGAGAAGCAGACTGATGTGACATTATTACTATGCCCTTCTAAATTAGATTTTTAATGTCCAGTTTTAATATCCCATAAACGAATTGTCTTATCACCACCACCAGATGCTAATGTTCTACCATCAACAGAGAAGCAAACAGATAGGACTTCTGCATGATGACCATTTAATTATAATATTTATTTTCCTGTTTTAAAATTCCACAAACGAATAGTCTTATCATCACTACCAGATGCTAATACACTACCATCAGGAGAAAAGCATACTGACTAAACTGAATTGCTATGTCCTTAAAATATGGATTATTGCTATCCTGTTCCAACATCCCATAAACGAATAGATTAATCCATACTACCAGATGCCAATATAATACCATCAGGAGAGAAGCATAAGGAATTAACAGGTCCATCATGACCATTTAATTAATGTAAATCATTAATTCTTAAATTTTTCCATTTACAATCAAATAATTAAGCTCCATTTAAATTCATTCCATTTATATTTATATTTTAAAATTCAGCTCCACTTAGATTGCATTTTGCAAAATTACCTCCAATTAAAGAAGTATTTTAAATCCTTATATTAAGAAAAAACTAGTTTGTAAGATCAACTTTCATTTCGACTAGTATATTGAGTGAATTAGACCCACTCTATATTAAATTTTTATCTAAAGAAGTTAGATGAACAATTAATTTTAAAAATTCTATAATCTTCACCTCTGATGAAATTTTTTTAATCAAAAATTTTCTTGTTTCTGTATAAATTTCAGTGGAATAATTAATCTAATTAAAATCATGTTATTTTAGTATTTTGATTAGATTTATAATTGACATAATGCTCTTTTACCAAGTATTAAATTTTTATTGCCTTTCGAAAAGTGATAAATTATCTTCATTTATATAAATTTCGAAATGCTCTTGAGATGAAAGAAATTCTTCACAATTTTATTCTTCGTATCTTTATTTTGACAAAATTTCAATTATCGATCTGAATATTTAAATATCAAAATCTTTTGATAACACTAGTACTTCGTATAAATCGACTGCAATTAAGAACTCTTATATAGATTTATGGACAAATTAAAAGTTTGTACCTTTTTATTAGATCAATGAGCAACTTCTTATATCCTTTTTGTATGATCCGTATTACCCATCATCATTAAAAAATTCATTTAGCCATTTTTCTTCTTCTCTTTCATCCTTATATAATAAACCTTATTATTAATATTAGACTTAAGTCACTAATTTTTTGCTCATTGTTTTTGCAAGTTTAATTGAATATTATTTTAAATCATGAAGAAAACGATCAATATTTATAGATTTTCTTAAGCTTCTCTATTTTTCAATTTGTTTCAAATGATACATATTAATAAACTCATCATAAAAATCATAATTTGTGAGATTTTATTCTTTTAAGGCATCAAAAACTAATTAAATTAGGTTTTCCTTTTTAATTTCAACTTTATTTAATTCATTATTTGGTAGCCCTCGATTAAGTTAAAAAATCTATAAAAGTTTTTAACTTAGTTCGTTGAATTCATTAGAAATCTATAATTAACTAGGAATTAAATTTTCTTCCATCCTATTCCAAACCTCTAGAGCAATCTAAAGATTATCAATTTTTTCCCAATTTTATAAATCTGTTGAAGTAGAGTCAAAACAATCATAAACCTATAAAACTTCCCATTTCTTATTCTAATCAACAAAATTTTTTTGGCAAGTTTCTTTTTCAACTTCATTATTTACTTTTATTAGATAATTTTTCTTATATTAATTATATAAATGAATCAAACTTTTGCTTTTGAAGAAATCTTTAAACATTTTTGAAAAATTCTTTATGAAATTTTATTTTAAATTAACTATCTCAGCCGCTTTCACCATCATTTCTGGCAACACTTATACTATAATTTCCATCATATATGGAGTTTCCATAAATTTATTTAAATTCATCTACTACATCATATTGTCATATTTTTCAACGCTCCATAGTTTTTGTAAATTTATCCTAAGGCTTCTTATAGCTTCATTACTTTTTAAAGCAATAAATTCATCATCATTCAAATATAATAAAATGCTTTCTATTTATTTTTGATTTAATAGAGTTTCAGATTTCAACTTTGATAAATCGTATTTAAAAATTGATGATTATAATTTTTCCCAACACATTTCAAACTTATTGATATCAATAGCTTCTCTGCTTTAAACTTGAATTTACCATTCATATATTTCAAAAACCAACATTTTAATACTTTAAATCGTGTATTTTTTAAGATATTCTTGCTTTTATACTTAGTCAAATTTTAGAATCTAGATTTCTTTCAATTTTTCTTAATCATCAGGTGCAAACCATTATGCGTAATTACTACTTGTAAGAATTTCACTTCTTGTCGTAAAAATAACAAGTGGGTTAGTCCAATTCTAATTAATTTTATTATTTATGTATAAATTTTTTTATATGTTCTCTAACTTCATCTCATCATAACTGTCCATTATTAATAAAAATCTAAATTATTTCTTCTCCAGCATTTCTTTACATTCCTTCAATTAGAGCTGGTCAAAACCATAATCATTTTAAAGTGCCTCCTCAACAGCTTAAAAAACAGGATTTTTCAAAGAAGGCAATGAAATATATATTGGTATGAGCTATTGCTTATTGATTTTTCTATTATTTTCATGTAATTTCCAAATAAACTCTTCTATTTTTTTTGCTGCAGTAGTTTTACCTGATCCAGCCATACCATGAATTAACAACACTGTTTTCTCTTCTTATAAAAATTCATCCACTGCTCCAACTTTATTATCAAATTCTTCTAAACTCATCAAATTTTTTATATTCTCTTTCATTTTCTCTTAAGTTTTTAATGGAACATAGATAGACTTAATTTTTTTATATGCTGCTTCGTCCAATACTTTCCATTTTCTAATTTCAAGCAGTTATTCAACTGATTTTCCTCTCAAAAATTTAATGTCATTATCCATATTATTCAATTACATTTTTATCTAATTTATTTTTCCCTCTATTCTTTTTAATCCCTATCTGATATTGCTTACAAAATTATGAATCAAATCAAGTTGTTAACCCATTTCGCTAATATTTTCAATATATTCATTCAATTATTAAGTTGTTTCATCTACTTCTTAAAGTTATTAATCTCGTTTTTTAAGATTATATTCATGAGAAATTTATTCTTATAAATCATCAATTTTATGGAGCAATTATTACATTTCTCCTGAAATTCTATCACATTATGTCTTCCAATCTTTCTTTAAAATTTAGATTTAACTAGTTATTAAGTTTTAATTTTTTAACAAATTTCTAATTCTTTCATCTTTTTCTTAAATCCATATTTAAATAAGGGCCTTTTAGCAGAACTAAATAATGGTGTCTGTGAAACAATTCGATGAAATCGATATGATTGAAAAAACTAATCCTTATTTAATTTTCCATTCTTCATTATTTTTAAAATCTTTGTATTTTTATATCAAAGTATTAAATAAGCCGATTTATTGGTTAGGGTCTTTTTCAAATTCTTATTCTAAATTTTGTTTCAAATATATTTTAGATACTGATTATATAAGAATTTCTTATTTTATTTAGATTTTTTGTAATCTGAAACTTTTCTCTCTTGCTTTACCTTAAAATTTAGCCTCTAATTTCTGAATAGCACCTTGATCAATTTATGAACACAGAGCAGGATATTTTAAATCATCAGTCAAATTTTTTATTTTTTCATTTTCATTTATTATAGAATAAAAATTTGCAAATATTCTTTCAAAGTACATTTATTAATTTTCATTTTTTTACAATGATAAACTATTTGTTGGCCAATACTTTTATTCAAGATTATTGATCATTTTTTCAAAGCAAGCAATAAAACTTTATTGCATTTTTTCTTAAATAGTTCCTTCATATTTTTTCATAAAATCAATTTTGCTAGTAAATTTTTGAATTTCTTCAAGTAATTCATGTAAAACTTATTTTTCTTCTTTTATTTTAATTTAATACAGTTTTACAATTTTAATTATGAATTTTAAATTTGTAATATATTTTTCATCAAAGCAATTGTCAAATTTCTTAAGTTTTTGATAGTAAATATCATCGATTTGATCTTTTTTACCAAATTAATCTAAATCACTTGTATTATTTAATATATTTAATTTATTTAAATGGCTTTCTTGATAAATATTTTATTTATCATTATCTTACCTATCTTTATTTTTCTTGCAATTCTCAATTATTTTTTTTAAATCACGTATCTCCTCACATAATGGTATTTTAAAAATTTCTATATTTTGATTTTCGCAATTTAGAAATGTTTCAACAACCACCTCTGCTTTTTTAATTAATATTTCTATTTCAATTATCTATTAATTTGAATCCTTACTAGATTCTCTAATTAATGTCAATTAATTCAAAAAATTCTCGAACTTATCTTCCTCTAATTTCAATTGTTTTAAATTAAAATTTTCATTAGTAATGTTATTTATTGTATCATCAATTTATAATCCTTCAATAATTTAATCTAGTTTCTCTACATGTAAAGGTAGAGAAGATTATTAAATGAACAATTCTTCGAAATGCTTCTCAATTAATTATAAATCTTACCTTTCAGAATCATTTATTAATTCTTCTATATTTAACTTGAATAATAAAAATTCAATTATTTATTTTTAATTTGATAAATTATTTTTAAAGTCATCATTTGATATTGTAATACTTTTAATTTTTGAAATGTTATTATTTTATATATCACATCTAGATAATAGAATTTTTTCAGGATATTTCTTAATTACTTCAAGGAGAAATTCATCCAGATTAATATTTGCTGATATCTTTTATATAATTTCTGGTTCAGCTAATTTTATTATATTTTAGAAGAACTCCTAAAAAACAATTAATTTTTGATTAAATTTTAGCATTTCAAATCTCATCATTTCAAAATTTTCTATAATTAGGCTTGTAGAAATAAGTTCTTGAATATTCTATGAAATTTCATTAGTTTAAGCAGTATCATTAATTTAATTATTTAAAGTCATAATTACCTAAATTACCTCGAAAACTGTATTAGATTTTTAAAAATTGAGTTTTTCACTTTTCCTTTCATAATAAAACAAAAGATAATTCAATAAATTCTAAAACTATTTAAATAAGTCTTTTTCTTTTATTTCATCATTTTAAAGCTTTTTGATTTCTTTTTGAGAATTTTCAATAAATTTTATAATAGATAGAGCAGTATTCTTCTATGGAGAATTAGTTAAGGCAATAAGTTACATATTCAAAGGTTTAACTATCTAGTATGTTTTATCTTTCAAATCTTAAATTTTTGTTAATTAATTATAAATATATGTTTTCTATTCTTCAATAAGTTTAATATCATCAATTTTATTATATACTTATTGTTGTTCATCTTTTTAATCAATAGACTTTTCTTAAAATTCTTAAGTGAATATTTATAGATTATTTTCTAAAAGTTTCATCAAATATTTAAGTTACTCAACTGAATTAAGTTTAATTGAGGACTTTTACGATTAAAATTATACAAGGCCAAAATGCTTTTATTAATTCTAAGTAAGACTAAGAATTTTAATAATATGTAATGTGTTTTATAGATATTCTCCTAAATTAAAGATAATTTTTTGTAATTGTTATTTAAAAGGGATTTCAGTAATCCTTAAATTAATATTATTTCTTTTAATTAAATTTCTAAATATTTTAATTACTATTTCTAGTTTTTCTTGATTCTATTAAATCAAACTTAGTAATTTATGTGAAATAATAAGACTTAATAGCTTTTAGAGCTTATCCATAGCCACATAATCTTCATTTTTATGAATATTTTCTTTATCCAAATCTAATTTGCAATTTAAATAAGATCCAAATGTAAAAGGTTTTTTTGAATATTAATTATCCATTAAAAATTCTTTTAACAAAATATAATTTTACCATCCTTAGTAAAATGATTCTAATATTAATCTTTCAGTATAAATTAATTATTTATCTTTTAATTAATTAATCAAGATAAGAGCCTAATTATTGCTATGATTAATTTAATATAGAATTCCCTTTTTTTCGTATTCCTTCCAAATTAAACTTACTGGACTAGGATTTAAATTAAGATTCTTAATTTGCAAATCTAATTTTTCTATACTTAACAGAGGATTGTACACTAAAATTTTCTCTAACATTTAAATCCAACAATAATGATCGTTCCAATTATATGAAGTTTTAACTAATTTATCATAAATAGTCTCTAATTATTATATTATTTCTTCAAGATTATTTTATTTTTCATTCTTAAAATATGTTATAATCTCCCATTATAACATATCTATTTAATAATATACCTCATACTATTTTCTCTTATTATTTATATTATAGATCTTTTATAAGAGGCAGGCTCCTTAAAATAATGATTAAAGTAAATCAATATTTGGCTTCATTTCTAAAATAGACTTGATAATATTTCTTAAACATCCTTTTAAAATTTCTTATTATTCATTATGATTATTAGGAGCCATCTCAAAAGAAGCTTTTGTTAATAAAAGAAAAAGTTCCATTTGATTCTAAATCAAATCATTCTTTTCTATTTCCATTTATTTTTTTAACTCATCTGAAATTTCAAGAAATTAATTTTATAAATCAAATGTCATGTACCTTTTTTTATTCATTATATGGAAGCTAAATATTACTTTGGATAAAGAAGCCGTTATTTATAAAATGTTTAAACATTTAAAAGAATCAGCTTTAATATATATTAAACAACTTTTTAAAAGTCTTCTTATTCCATCTAAAATTAAATCATAAGATTTATTGACACTTTAAGAATTCTTATTAAGGTTATAAATGTTTTCCTCTTAAAATTTAAACCATTATATGGCTATCATTATCTATTATTATTCTTATTAATTAGCTACTAAAGAAGCCTTAGAGTCTATTATATTGACAAAATGATTAAATTTTGAGAAGAAATCATATAAATCTTGATTTTCTTCTATAAAAATTTTCGATTTCATTTTATTAATCCCAGAAGGTGAACATCCTCCTCCTCTTAATGAATATTTTGTCATATCTAAATATATATTATTAATATAATTTAAAAATAAATCCAAAGTAATTTTAAATATTTATAGAAAATAAAATAGAATAGAATGAATTTGTTCCCCAAAATAACCTAATTCTAAATATTTTAAAGAAGTATTAAATAAAGCCTATCAAGGTTCGCTCTTTGTAGAGAATGAGACGATATAAATCTAGGCATCTAATTAAGGCACTTTATGATATTCCTTTATTCAGGATTCACTTAAAATCTTGGTGACAGATATAATCTGCAAAATATTATAGAGAGCTCATAAATATAATACTTAAAATAATAACATTTTACTAGACATCTTTCTAACCCAAAATTCCCATATCTTATTCCAATGATTGAAGTAAATATATATTTATAGAACAAATCTCTGTTTTTGAATATTTTTGTATATATGGTATTTTTGTCTGAATCTCTATTATAAACAATTGTTTTTTATTCTCCTTATCTCACTATATATTTTAATTTGATTTAACTTAAGTTGCTTCAATAATCAAATAAATCAAACAAATGTGTCATTCATTTTTTTTGATATCAATAATTGATTATGTTTTTCATCTACATAAGTACTTATAACACTTATTTACCTATTAATTTCTCAAACTAGTATTAGTTGGTTGATTTATGACTTTAATTTTTTTAAGACTCTATTTTCAAATGCAAAATCTTTGATTTTAACACAATTAAATCCTTAGAAGCTGTATGAACATTACCTACATCAATTAAATTTTTTTAAAGCAACTTAATAATTCATATTAAAAGTTGGCATATTGATTCAAAATCTTTGAGGAAAAAATAAAGGTTTTACATCTCCAACTACTTAATACATACATTTTCTTAATTTTTCGATAATCAGCTATTACTTTTTGATATGTTTAAATTTGAAAAAATTATTTAACATATAGCCAACTTTATTAAAGAAATAGTAGAATAGAATAGTAAATTTTTATAGACCTCAATGAAATCTATAATTTAGTATCACTTCACTCAATTTAATGGCGAGTTTAATATAAACTACATTATGAAGTTTATATTAACTCTTGTATAGTTAAAGATAATATTATCTAAATAACGATGGAAAGCATTTTTAATCATTACAATCATACTTTCAATCTATGAATTTTATACAATTATTTCTTTATAATAATAATCTATTCAAAATTAAATAAAGAAAAAAAAAATAACCTGATGAGAAAAATTAATAGATTTAATTTGCTTAATTTAATTGTATTTATAAGCTGAAAAGCAGAAATCATTTATTTTTAGATGATCAATTCTAGTTAATGTTAAATTTAAATATAATTTCTATTATTTAAACTTTTTGCAAATTAATACAGAATATTTCAAAAATATATTAATATTCCACCATAAGATATATATAAATAATTTAAACTTAATATATATAATTACAGTATTTCTTATCATTGTTTGACAGCTATGATATATTCTTGTTATTTTGAAAATCATAATAAAAATAACTGATAGCACAAATATATTTAAATAGAGTGCAATTTTTGAATATTTTATTAATTTTATCTGAAATTTTATTTATACTATTATTATTAAATTAATAAATGTAATTAATTAAAATAATTCTTTTAAATTTGTATGTTTAAAAATTAGACTATCAAATTCTTCTCATTTTTAAGGTTAAATAATACAATCGATTGTTTATTTCCATCTATAAAGGTATTTGATTTAATGCCAATAAATTATTAAAAAAAATTGATATGATATATCTCATTAAAAATCAAAAAAATTAGAGATATATCTCCTCCATCTTTTATTTTTAATGATCATAAAATATATTCACAAAATTTTAACAAAATCAAATCAAATTAAGATTAAATTATTTAATACAGTTGTTTAATATGTATTATTATTCGTTATAGATTTTTTTACCAACTTATATATTTCTTCATTAAGGAATTGGCAATGGTACATGATCTGTACTAAAAAGATTTATGGATTAATTTGTAGGATATAGACTATTTGCTTAGATCCTTAAGTGTAATTGATATGATATAGACTTGAGTTCTCTTTGAATTTGATTTTGATGAAAGAATACTTATTTATTTTATGATAGTAGTTTTTATGTAATGTAAGGACTATTGATCAATCACTATTTATGAAGAAGTATATTGTTAAAATATTTATTTAAATATATTCGATATACTGTTCATATGAAGAGTTTAAACGCTTTCTTATCATACGGATGAGAAATTGAAATCAGCTAAAGTATTTTCATTTCAGCATATTTAATTTGTAATTTATAGAATTTTTTTTTATAGTACATTTTTGAGGAATAATTTGATTGGCAACAATTATCTTATCTTATTGAATTTAAGGTTTGGTAGATTATTTTTAAGTAACAATTAACAATATGCTAAATATCACATTATTGAGAGCAAAGTATATAATTTTGAGAAAATATTACATTATAATAATTATCAAGTTAGAATGAGTCCAAAATAAAATTTAAGTTAGGTGATGATTGAAATCTAATTTTGATTATGATTTGATGAATTTGAGTTAAATTCCCAAATGACTAATTTGTCTAAGATATTTATTGCTCTTCTTAACAAATTTAAAATAATAAAATTTTTCATTTGGTCTTAAAATTAAAGAAGATAACCGCATTAATATTGATTAGCATTCTTTAAACATATTCTTTAAATATTAGGAAGTATGAAGGATTCTCTTCATTAAAAAAGACTTTTAAAATTTTAATTCTAAAGATAATTATTTTATTTATAAATATCTGTGTATTATTTGCCCATCATATTAATATTGAAAATTTGAATTTCGTATAATATAGTAAATTAAGGATTTATGTTATAAAATAATGTAATACTATCTCCAAATAGAATATTTTATTTTAATTACCTGAAATCAGCTTTAACATACTTGATTAATCTGTTTTATATCATCAATAACTGATTTTAAATTCTCATATAAATATACTTCTTCTATATCAATTCTAGATTTGAATTTAATTTGCAAAAACAAATCCTTAAAATTTAAAAGTTTTTGTTATTCTTTTTGAACCTAATTCAAAATTTAGTCATTAAAAAATGAAACAAGTAATTGAGTAAATATTTGGATGTAATGATTTAACAGATAATTGAATTCAAAAAAATTATATGATATAATTAATGAAGTTAGTAAGGCAAGGAATAACATTATTTTTTACATCAGAATAAGAAAGATTAATTATTTAAAAACTTAGGTTTCTAAAAACTCAAAACGCCAAAAATCTCTTTACATTAAAATGGTCAGGAAGAGAAAGCTAATGAGAAAATTATAGAAAAACAAGAATACAAAATAGAAGGTTTTTTTTAGAATAAATTTTTATAATAAATATTGTTGAGAATATTTACATATTTTTAATTCATAATTTTATTAAAATAAATCAAATGAATTGATTTTATATATTATTAAGAAAGAGTTTGCTATTTAATATTTTTAATTATTCTAAAATAATATATTTATTAAAAATAAATACATTTATTAAAGCTTAAAATAGTCAATAATTTATCTCTTTTTTGATTACTTTGATGCTATTATTGAAGAAAGTAGTAAAAAAGTATTTACGATATTATAATATCGTAAATACTTTTTTACTACTTTCTTCAATATAATTTGAATGAATTTATGAAATATTAACCAACTTCATTATAATTATTGCTATTAACAAATGTGTATATAATTAATCAAATTAACCAATGAAGAGCATAACAGATTATTATTATGTTTTCTCAAAAACTTGATAAGCAATATTATCAATACCATGCTTTCGAAAGTTAAATAAAATTGAAAGAGACATTAAATTTCGCTATTTTTTTTGTATAAATCATCAATCTAATTATCTATTAATGGGTAAGTTCTAAATATTAATTCTTGTTTCCCTTTTCTTCATAATTGATAAATTAATTGTCTTTAGATGTAAAAATCAGGGTATATGTAGAAAATAAAAAAATTGATTTGATATCCTTATTCTTATGCCTATCCCAAGATAAGAATTTAGTATGTGAAATTTATATATTAAGAACAATACAAAAAATGGCCAATTCATTAAAATATTTGCCATAGATCAATGATTGAATTATATTTTTTTATATTAATAAATGAAAGACATCATTTTTGTAATAAAATTACGTAATCAAATTTTAGTGTAATTTAAAAATATTTGTTGCTATTGTTACTATTGTACTATTGTCTCTTTCTCTATAATTATAACATATTTGCCTGTTTAGATTAATGTCTTTGAATTCAAATTTGGCTATTTAATTTGTATTAATATTTTTAATTAAATTGAATCAGATAAATGATAAATTTTATCCTTACTAGATCTATGATATCTAAATTTAAACAATTTTTACTACTGATTCTCATTTTAAATTAATCACAAGCTAGTTTTTAAAGTTATTATTGGATTAGTAGTTAAACCCAAAGTATTAAATGATAATTATTTTAGACTTAAACAGTATACAATGGGATACAATTTGTTCCTGTTGTTCATTTTAATATGAATTATGTGGCTTAGAAAGTATATTAGTTATTAATTAATGCTCTTTGAATGATTACAATTAAATAGTATTTAAAACTCTGAGGTTATAACCTCATTATCAAATTACACTTACATTTATTTTTTGGAGGTAATACATCTTACACAATATTAGAATTGATGAATGGAATGATTATGACTTTGATGTTTATTTAGATTATTAAAGAGTACACTCAAATTAATATTCCCACATAACTAGTAATTAAAATATATGTAGAAATTCACTTTATAATGATGAATTATTTCCAATATCAATCACTATTCCTCATACAATGAGTTCTATTACAGTTATGTTAGTTGTAGAAAGAGGAATTTGGGGAATATCTTAAATGATTTTAGAAGCCAAATTATGTCCAGTAGATTGTGAATCTTGTATAGAAAATCAATGTTTAGATTAATTCCTACATTTTTCTACATTAGTATAACAATTAGTAGTTAATTCATCTGAGGGTTGGTTGACAAATAATTAAATTTAGATTACAACTTAGACATTTCTGTGTAATTTTTATTTCTATAATAGAGGCCAAATTTCTTTAACCAAATGCAAATCATCTAATAAATGAAATTGAATTAATTCCTCATTAAGCAATAAGTATATAAATTAAAGTGCTTGTTTATAATTCAAATCCAACAGAAATCAATATTGAAATAGATGATGTTCTAGTATCAAGAACATATTATACAGAGGGTTGGATAAAATATAAAAATGGTTATGGATATAGATCTTAAAAATCGATAAGCATCTATTAATATCCTCACATTAATGATAAAGCCAAAATCTCTCTTTAATTAAACATATAAGAACCTACTTTCTCATTATATTTTGCGATTCGAGATTTTCAACTATTTCTAAAATCTTCATTATTTGAATATACTTGTAATGATGATAATTTCTTACCGTATGATGGATGTTTTTAAAAAAACTTTGATTGTATAGAAGGTTGTAGTAATTGTGTTAGAGGATTATGTTTGGATTGTAAATTAGGTTGGGAATATTTTGAGAAAGAATAACTATGTATTCCAATTTGCGGTGATCTCATAATTACTTCTTATGAAGAATGTGATGATGGTAATAATATACTTTATGATGGTTGTTATTAATGTAAACATTCTTGTCCCTAAAATTGTAGGATCTGTGAATTTGGAAAATGTTTGGAATGTAATGTAAATTATAAATTATCTTCAAATAAAAAACAATGTAATTCAATTTGCTTTAATGATATAAAAATCTTAAATGGAATTTTTCAATACTAGAGTAGCAGAGAATGGGATAGTAATTAATTATGTTAATAAAGTTGTTAATTAGAGTGTAAATTATGCATAGATAATAATTGTTACTAATGTATTGATGGGTGGAAACTTGAAAATAATGAATGTAATAAATTTTGTGGAGATGGATAAGTTGCTATTAATTCTATAGAATTGTGTGATGATGGAAATTATAATGATAATGATGGTTGCTATTAATGTTAATTTGAATGCATACCTTATTGTTATTTTTGTTCAAATTAAAATACTTGTTTATTTTGTTAATAATATTTCATTTTATAAGATAACTAATGTCTTCCTTATTGTGGAGATGGAATTATTATAGAAGATTTAGAAGAGTGTGAAGATTTAAATAACAAACCTTATGATGGATGTTATTAATGTAAATATTCATGTATATAAAACTGTGAAATATGTTAATTAGGAATCTGTTTATAATGTAATAAAGGATATATAATCTATGATAATTTTTGTATGAATTTAAAGGAAAATTAAGAGGAGATTGAAAATTAAGATGAAAATCAATAAATATAATCTTTAAATTATTGTGGAGATGGGATTATATAAAAGTATGAGTCTTGTGATGATTTTAACTCATTAAATTTTGATGGATGTTCTATTACTTGTTAAGTAGAAAATTTATGGAATTGTAGAAAATATATTTAATCAAGCCGTTGCTATCCTTAAACATATTTTACTTTATCCAATTTGAATTACACTAGATCTATTGAGTATATTTAAATGTCATTTTCAAATAAATTGATCTTCAACAACTATATTGATAATTATACAACAAGAATTATATACAAAATAGATAATTTAACATATAATCAATATGATTTATAGATATTTTAAGTATATGAGATTTAGAATTTTTATCTTTTTGATTTAATACTTATTTTCTAAATAACATTTTTTCACTCAATTGATTAATAACCTATTTTAAGGGTTTCTTTAAAAGATGATATTATAGATTAAAATTATTTCTAAGTTATTAGTAATGAATAATAGATCGTACTTTAATCTCACAGAATTTTAACTGAATCATAATTATAAACAGCAATTAATCTTAAAACATTAAACTTTTGGATGCTAATTAGATTATGTATATGTGCATTTATAATGTTTATTTTGGGTGATATTAAAAATTTTACAGAGATTTTGGATATTTTATAATTTCAATCAAATTTGAAGTTTATTAATGTACCCTTCCCTTAAAATGTCGAAATTTTTTTTGAATCTTCAAATTTTGTAACAATAAAAACTCTTTTTAATAAATTATACTTATTAGATTTATTTGATAATACACTTGGATTCAATCATTGCGAAAGTGTTGGTAAATTTAAATATTACAATATCAATGCAGATCTTCTTAATAATATGTATGGATGTATTACTCAATAGTTATTAATTATTATCATTGATATATTTCTAAGATAGCTCAAAAAGTCTTATTATAATTCTCATAACCTCTTACGGTTTTTACACCTTAAAACCCTGGATCAATCAAATATATTGAAAAAAATAACTATTTTTATTTTGAATCTGACTTAAAATCTAATTAAATAACCATTATTTTTCAGCAAATTTTTTTTCTTAAACTTCTTTTTACTCAATAGTTGGGATTTATTATTTAAGATTTTACTATATTTAGTTTCTAACAAGGAAACTACAGTTAGATCTATTTTTTCTTATATTCTCAGTTATGGATTTATAATTTTAGTCATATCATTTTTAACATAATATTTTAGAGGATATAATCTCAATTTAGCATTGAAAAAAATAAGATAAAATTAATTTGAAGCAATTTTATTATTTAAAAAATTTATGTTCCTAATGACACTAATTGGAATGTAAGATCAACCAATATTTTAATGTATTATGTTGACAGTTTTAATTTTTACTTATTTATTTTTTATTAATACGATTGAGTTTCTTTATTAAAATGCAGAATTAATTAATATCATTTGGTAAGATGCACCAATAATGATATTTACACTATCAAGTTTAGCATATTGTTTGGAATTTTATAGATACTTAACAATTGATTAATACTTTATTTTGGGTTTTATTTAAATAGGGTTCTTAATTTTTGGATTAACAGGTCCTCTTGTAAGATGCATAATAAAATTCTACTAAAAAATTAAATACTATTTTAAAAATAGAAAATCTAATTTGTAATTAGATTAAAAAAATTAAACTGCAAACCCAAATCTTTTTACAGAAATTAGGTGTTGATATTATTTCATTATTATTTTTGATTATGAAATAGATTATTGTTTTGTAATTTAAAGAATAGGATATTAATTATACAGAAAATTTAATATCATCTAATTTCAACTCTGTTTACAAGTTGAAGATTGCAAAAATACTTTTCATCATCCTCTCCTAATATTCACTGCAACATCATATTTACTTTTTAAGTAATTAGTACTCCAGTGTCTTTTTTCCATCATTATGTTTTCTTAATTAGATATTCAAGGTTATTAAACAATAAAAATTTCTGTTTAAAATCATATCACTGATTTTAAGTCATCATGATTATAATTGATATACTATTTAACATTCGTTCTTTTTAAATATTCTAAATTTATAATATACAACATTGATATTTAAGGTTTTTATTTANCATTGATATATTTCTAAGATAGCTCAAAAAGTCTTATTATAATTCTCATAACCTCTTACGGTTTTTACACCTTAAAACCCTGGATCAATCAAATATATTGAAAAAAATAACTATTTTTATTTTGAATCTGACTTAAAATCTAATTAAATAACCATTATTTTTCAGCAAATTTTTTTTCTTAAACTTCTTTTTACTCAATAGTTGGGATTTATTATTTAAGATTTTACTATATTTAGTTTCTAACAAGGAAACTACAGTTAGATCTATTTTTTCTTATATTCTCAGTTATGGATTTATAATTTTAGTCATATCATTTTTAACATAATATTTTAGAGGATATAATCTCAATTTAGCATTGAAAAAAATAAGATAAAATTAATTTGAAGCAATTTTATTATTTAAAAAATTTATGTTCCTAATGACACTAATTGGAATGTAAGATCAACCAATATTTTAATGTATTATGTTGACAGTTTTAATTTTTACTTATTTATTTTTTATTAATACGATTGAGTTTCTTTATTAAAATGCAGAATTAATTAATATCATTTGGTAAGATGCACCAATAATGATATTTACACTATCAAGTTTAGCATATTGTTTGGAATTTTATAGATACTTAACAATTGATTAATACTTTATTTTGGGTTTTATTTAAATAGGGTTCTTAATTTTTGGATTAACAGGTCCTCTTGTAAGATGCATAATAAAATTCTACTAAAAAATTAAATACTATTTTAAAAATAGAAAATCTAATTTGTAATTAGATTAAAAAAATTAAACTGCAAACCCAAATCTTTTTACAGAAATTAGGTGTTGATATTATTTCATTATTATTTTTGATTATGAAATAGATTATTGTTTTGTAATTTAAAGAATAGGATATTAATTATACAGAAAATTTAATATCATCTAATTTCAACTCTGTTTACAAGTTGAAGATTGCAAAAATACTTTTCATCATCCTCTCCTAATATTCACTGCAACATCATATTTACTTTTTAAGTAATTAGTACTCCAGTGTCTTTTTTCCATCATTATGTTTTCTTAATTAGATATTCAAGGTTATTAAACAATAAAAATTTCTGTTTAAAATCATATCACTGATTTTAAGTCATCATGATTATAATTGATATACTATTTAACATTCGTTCTTTTTAAATATTCTAAATTTATAATATACAACATTGATATTTAAGGTTTTTATTTACAATTGTGATTTAAATAATCATCACATAAATTAAGCATAAAACTAATAAAAAAATCATTATTTATTTGTAAGCAATAATTCAATAGATGTCGAATCCTTTTCTTTGATCTTTCTCTCCATCTATTTTGATTAACCTTTAAATTAATTATCTTATAAGAAATAATAATATAATTATTTGTTTTATTAATTCAAATAAATCTAAATTAAAAACCATATTTAAATTGTGGTAATGCTTTTATTATTATTTTTTAATTTAATATTTCTCCATTTTCAGTGGAAAAAATATTTGGTTTGGCTGGGAGAATGGCTATCTAAGATGTATTTATCAAATTAAATTAAAGAAAGCATTAGCTATTGATCCAATCAAATGCATATTGTAATAAAGGTGGAATTTTTATTAAGCTCTGGTATGTAATTATTTAAATTTAGGATTACCCATCAAAACCTTGTAGGGAAGGCAAAATATTAAATCAAAATAAAAATGCCTGTAATAATAAAGGTATACAATATGATTGAAACATAGGTCCAATTTAAATTCCTATTTAGAAAGACAATAAATCAAAATTAAGAAGAGGTGTTAAAAATCTTAGCTATTTTGTAATTGATTATTTTTTCCAAAATCAATTTTGATTAATGAGAGTTTTTGTGAAACTTCATATAGATTCAATATTGATTTTAGTACAAATTTCAATTCCAAATAACTAAAACTTCTAAGACCTCTTATTTTATTATATGAACACTCTATATTTTTATATTATATATATGTTATTATTTTGAGTAATTAAAATTGCATTAAATTTAAATTTGGTTCATATATAAAACTATAAAAAAAAGGAGTATTGTTTAGCATAAAAAGTAGTGAATTCATTAATTAATCTATTAAGGAAGAGAATTGAAAAAATAGAAATAACAATTATGAATACTTATAATTAGTGTTATAATGACTTTATATAATTTAATATTCTTGAACAAATTGAAAAATATATACTTAATATCTGAGTTTAGTAATTATAATCATATAGAATAATATAATTACATTACTAATATTATTTTCCTGTTATAATTTCCTATTCTTTTCATCTTTACAAGTGTCATTTCATCCTTCATCTTTCTATAGATTAATCCTTTGCATTTATTTTAATTTAATCTGCAAGATCTCCTATTTATTCGTAATTTATCACTGCATAAGTTTCAATTTGAGTTGGAGAGCCTTATAATAGTTAATAATAAACTATATTTGTATATCAATTAAAATAAGTATTCCAATAAATATTTATGAAAACTATTAATTAAAAATTTAATACTATATATATTTTATTAATGAAAAATAAAGATATTGCCAACACTCAGACTTGAACTTATATCTTTGCAGTTATAGTTGAACACTTATAAATATAATAGAAAAAATACTAATATTGATTCTTATATTTTTAACACTATTTTGTATTCTATTATAAATTTGAGAGGTAAGAAATCTATTTTATTTAGTCAAATTTAATATGAAATATATTCTATTAGAATATTATCATTTTCGTTAATAGTAATTGTCTTAAATAAGATTTGTATTTTATTCTTCTATAAACATCAACTAAAAGTATTTTTTAGTTCTAAAAGTAAACAAAATTTTGGATCAATAGAATATATTAAAGGTTTGTAATTTTATACAATCATTTAGTTTTTTTTAACAACACCTCTTGAAATAAAACTGGGTAGATTAAATGAAACTCTGTAAATTAAAGAATATTGTAGAGATATTGATATTTAAATTTTAATATATCTTTTTGTTAATTTGAGTATTTTTAATTTGATATTTAATTATTAATATCAATCATAAGAATTTATTAGAAAATTATATTGTATAATATCGAATAATAATTATGAATTAAATCCTAAGTTTTTGATGAAAATTCATTAATTTTAAGAATATTCTAAGAATTCATATTATTCTCAATAGAGTTTTCTCAAATGAAATATACCTTTCTTTGAAAAATAGGAATATTTATCATCACTAATAATAATACATTATGAACTTTTAAAATATAATATCATTCTTCCGATTCTATTTTTTCTTTTTTTAATTGATTCTCAATATCACTTGAACTGAGTATATCAAAAACAACACCTTATACTATGACATTATACTATTTTGTAAAACCTAATATAAATATATTATAAAACATTTTGGATCATAAGGTTAAGCATTTGATTAGGTGATGTTTATTTTAATAAAGTTTTCAAATAACTGACAGCAATCATCATGCTAAAGGTTGTTAGCTAAACTAGATGATATATATGATTTTTGATCAAGACAAGTGGTATTCTATCTCTATTCCATTTTGATAAACTAATTTAAATTTTAATTCAATCTTCAGCTTTTAAAATTTTTCCTTTTAAAATTTTAGATTTATAATCAGCATATTAACCGAAAATTTTATTATTAAAAAAATCCTGAAATATAAATAGATTCTTAAACATTGAACTAGAATTAAAGAATTTGATTATTTGAGTATCAATGTCTTTCAAATCAATTATTCTATATATCTTATATTTCATTTTTGTTTTTCCAAAACATACTTATAAGTGACCATTGTTCATTTAGATTTTAATTCTGTTTATTTAGTGAGCCAGGAATCAAAATCAAAGCCAATCTGTATGTCTTAATGGCAATCGTGTATTTCTTTTATTCAAAGTAAATGTTTATCATATTGAATTTCGATCTTCTTTTGCTAGGGTGTATTTTTAGATTTATTTATTTCTTTCTAACTAGTTTCTTATTTAGTAATCTATTCTATTATTATTTTAATGATTCATATATTTTAAATAAGTCTTCAGGATTAGTTTCAAGTTTTAGATTAAAATGTATATAATCATCTTAAAATGAAAACTTTGATTAATAAACCTTTAAGACTCAATACTTGAACAGAGAGACATTCAAGATACTAGACTCGATATATTTATCATTTTAAATATTACGCTACTTTCATGCATAAGAATAAAATGATTTTGATCATGAAATGATCACTTTTATTTTGTAATGTATTTCTTTTGATTAATATATGATAATTGATTCTTCTCTTTTTCCTTTTTCTTATTATTAATGCCAAAATATTAATTTATGTATATTTATAAATATTTGAATTATTAATTAATTAATCCAATTTTAAGAGTTATTAATTAAATGTAGTTCAGAATTCTGAGATTCTGAAAATAGATATTTTTAGCCTTAAATAAATTAAAATTACATTAAAAATAATGAGTAAAAAGGAACTTGAAATAACACTAGGATGTAAATATATACTAATAAATATAGAAATCAGGAAGGCTATTCCTCAACATTTATTTTAGAAAAATGAATTAAGATTTTTAATTTCTGTAATCTAAGCAATTAGTTGTACACTGTTACTGACATACATTGCTTATAATTATATTCCCTTGAATTGGTTTGCTCTACCAATTTGGATTGGATATGCCTTTATAACAGGAACTGTAGCTACAGGAATATGTAAAATCATTATTTAAATTTAGGGGTTCTTGGTCATGAATGTAGTCATTTTGCATTCTCAGATACTAAATGGTTGAATGATGCTTTAGGTTTCCTATTACATCAAGCATTGTTAGTACCATATTTTTCATTATAACATTCTCATTCTGTTCATCATGCTAAGACAAATCATTTAACTTAAGGTGAAGCTCATACTCCTGTCATTATTGGCTCAAAGATGGGAAAGTTATACTAAAAAATGAAAGATATTTTAGGAGAGGAATGTTTTACTTTCATTTAGATTTTTAATATAGCAGTTTTAGGATGGCCTCTTTATTTTTTAGTAGGTGTATCAGGAGGATCAGCAAGAGGATTCACTAGTCATCTCATAGTACCAAACAAATTATTACCAAAAAAAATATTACACAAAGTAGCTGTTTCAAATATTGGAATATGTTTAGTTATTTATTAACTCTACAAATGGTATTTAGCAACTTCATTTGCTGAAGTTATGGCTTTATATATTGGTCCATATTTGGTAGTCAATATGTGGTTAACCATCATCACTTCCTTATAACACAATGATTTAAATATTCCTCATTATGATGAAACTGCCTGGACATGGTTAAAAGGTATATTTTTGAAATTATTTTAGGAAATTTATGTACTATTGATAGAAATTACCCTTTATGGATTAATGCTTTACATTTTGAAACTGGTACTACTCATGTTCTTCATCATCTCTTTCCTGAATTACCTCATCACAATGCTAGAGTATATTATATCATATTATCAATTACAGGAAGCTAATATCTATCTAAAATAAATATTGGGTGATTTGTACTACAAAGATACTAAAAACTTTTGGATTTCCCTTTATTAAACTGCCAGTCTTGTTGGTGTAGAACATTAAGGAAACGGAGTCTGGAAATTCGTTAAAACTTGATTATTATTATTTAGTACATTTTAATTAGCAAAAATTTTACATAAAATCTATTCTGTTTTATAAAATTATTGTTATTGATGTAACATTTTAAATTTGTTTTGACTTAGAATTAATAAAACAATAAAAATGCTTATAATTATTTATTTATTAAAACTTATATAAATATATTAAATTAGTAAAAGTAAATTTATAGGAAGAATATCAACATATTCTTTTCTTTAATATCTATCCATAGTATTAGAGCTAATGAATTAGGATATTCAAATTATCATAATTTCAAAAGTTTCTAAATATTATTAATTATAAAATGTTCATTTAATTAAAATAATAATTATACAATAAATTTATAATGACTATTTTTAATACTCTTGTTTTCAATAACATTCTTTTAATGAATATTTTTTCATTTCAAATAAATTTATACACATTATATACTCATTTTATTTATATTTAAACCTTAATTCCACATATAATTATTATGAACAAGTTTTTTGAATTGATTGAAAAAGTTGATTTATTTGGAGTCTAACTATCACTCCTTACAAATAATAAAGGAACAAATTTCTAGAGTAGAATAGGGGGATTAATATCAGTTATTTTAGGTAGTGTAAGTCTTGCATATTCTTTATATATATTAGTTTTGTGGATTGAAAATAATATACCACCTAATATTAACACAAAACAATAAACAAAGGGATATGCTGAATTTAAATGGTCTGAACCATTAATTTTCTTATCTTTATAGGATTTTACTTCATCTGTTGATCCTTTTCGAAATTAAAACAATATAATAACTCCATTATTATTTACTCTAAGAAATGGTGTGATTAAAGATAAACCTATTGCTCTATATAGTGACTCATTACTACCATATTCAATAATTTTGAATAACGGTACTTTGATCTTAAATAATGGAGGCTAAAATGAACATACAGAAGAAATGTAAGAATATTTATTGGTATTGGCTTCTTGTTAAAATGATTATTTATAAGATGATGGTTATTGCGCTGATGATAATACAATTTAAGAATATATATCTATTTATCATGGATTCTTAGATATAACAATTAGATTAAATCAATTAAATTATCAAAATAATAAATTAGAAACATTTTAAAAAACATATTATCAAGCATTTGATCCTAAAAAACCTATTTATACATAAGTGATGTTAAAATAACAAGAAACTATAATTGATGATGGTATTTTATTTAGGAATGAAAAAAGTTAATAGTTTTTAAATAATTATGAAATTATTAATTAAGAAGTTGATAATAGATTTATACCTCATGCAATTTAATCAATGTCTGAAAATACTTTGACTTTGAATATTTCAAGTACATTTCTTTTTAGAATTGATAATATATCTATTGTTGAGGAAGTGAGTATGCCTAAATTAGGTTCTGTTCTTGCTTAAATTGGTTCAATAGTAGATATCATATTTCTATTGTAGTATGTTGCATTTTATTACAATAGTAAATTACTTGAAAATGGTTTGCTTCATGATATAGTTACTATGTATTATCCAGAATTTAAGATTTTAAAGCCTAATTTAATAAATAAATTTATGATTAATGAAGAAATCAACTAATTTTAAATATCTAATCAAAATATATAATTAAAATACTTAACTTTATTAAAAGGAGCAAAAGAAAAATGCAGATTAATTAATATACTTTATGAAATTTCTAGAATATAATTTATTCTTGAATAATAATTTGGAAATTCAATTTTATAATTAAGTCATTAATAAGGTAGAAAAATAACAAAAGATTAATTAGAATAAGTTTGTGATAGTTTATAAGAATCTAATTATTTAGTTGTTAAACCAATTGATTTGTCGAATTAAGAGATCAAGTATCCTTACGATGAACCTTTAACAATATTAATTAAACCATCATGAATAGATTGATATTTTATTATCATTTACAATACAATCTATCATAATTTATTTTTGTATTATGAAATAATGTAGAAATAATTATTTTAATTAATATATTTTCAATTAACTATTTCAAAGCTATAGATCATTTATTATTTAATAATACAAAACTTTTGTATATATATTTAATATATATGATATCATGTAAAATTATGATGAAGATATTATCATTATTATTTGGAATTTCTTTATTAAAGATAATACCATATAAAATGATTGAGAATCATAAAAATTTATTCTTTTTTGGTGAATAAATAATCAATCAAAGGATTTAAGAGTCTTATATTATTAATAAAATATCAGGATAAGGTAAAAAAGATATACAAGCTTCATTCATTTTTTTTTTATTTATAATTTTTTTTGTGATTTATGAAAATTGATATCTATAATATATTTTTGTCAATAAACTAATATTGTACCGTATATTGAAGATTATACAAATCCCTTAAATTAAATTAAAATTATTAGAATAATAATATATATTACTATAAAAATTAAATCAATTTTAATAATTAATTAATTAAAATTAAATATATTATAATATTAATTAATTTTAATTTACCTTAGTTTATTTTTAAATCAATTAATTAAATCTAAAATTTTTAATTTCCTCAAATTATGAAGAATAATATATTAACTATTTAATATTAAACTTGTGATGATAAATCATTATATT